ATTTTTGTATTGAGATAATAAAATAATTTTCACATTTAGTATTATTTTACAAGAAAGGCACTTTATTTTAACGATTGTATGACATTTTACAACTGTCAACTAACTTAAAACTAACTTCAGCCCGTGACTAAAAACCTGTTGCCAACTTCAGCCCGTGACTAAAGCGCCATAAAGCCACAACTTGTCAATGTGCATTTAAAAGGTCACTTAGTGTCATGGAAACATGTGCGATAAAGGGCGTTTTAAAGGTGGGAGTAGAAAAAATATTTTTTACAACCATTAAAATAATATTTATATAACCTGACTCTTTACAAATTTAAACAAATAATTTTGTAAAATAAAATATTAAAACTACTATTAAAAAAACAATAATAAAATATTAAACTTTTTCATTTGCATTTTTTGATTATCAATTTTTTTTTAATTAACTTTTTAAACTATTTCGTGTTTATATTTTAAATGTCGACACCATTTTTAAAAACTAAAAAAATTACCAATTTAATCTAAACAATTTTATAAAATATTTATTTAGGGTCAAAATTCTGCCCAAATAAATTATACTTGCAAAAATTGATTGGAAATAATATTGTTTCATAGAGAAGGGAACTGTTACTTAATAAATTTTGTCTTTCATGATCCATACATGATATTTTAAAGCAATAAAATTTTAAATTAAAAAATTATTTAATAAATGTTAAAACGGCTTGCCATAGAATACAGAGCCTTTCCAAATAACCCAACAATAACAAAAGTGTCAGTTGTCACATAATCTCAATGGCTAATTAGCTTAAATCAGCTCAATTAAAAACAGGGGTCGCTCAAGATTTTTAAAATTTTCAAAATCGTCAAAAATTGAAGTTTTGTTTTATTTTAATTTTTTTTTCTCCTCTCGATATTATTTTTTTTGGTTGAAAATAATAAAAATTCTGTAAATTTCAAATCAATATTTTGATTTCTAAAGGTCGCTAAAAGTTCGTTGATATTTATATTCAGAGGTCGCTTGAAAACATTCAAAATACTCTACTTTGAAAGTTTGAAAGCGACCTTTAGAAAGCAAAATATCGATTTGAAATTTTCAGAATCATTATTATTTTTAAATTAAAAAATAATATCGGAATGAGAAAAACAAATTAAAATAAAAAAATCCAATTTTTGACGATTATGGAAATTTTTAAAAATCTTAAGAGACCCCTAACATTTTTTTAATGGAGCTGATCTTTTGACAGGACAAACGTCAATAAGATAATACGGAAGTACTAATCAATAAAATTAAATTAAAAATGAATGAAAGGATGATTGCGATTACCAAACATTTGCACTATTCAAATAAAAGTCAACATTGTTCTTGAAACAAATATTTATAAATAACAAGGATAACTGACCAAACCATTCACAGAATTGAATTAAATAAATACTTACTTATATTAATTTTCGATTATATTCGTTAAGTGATCGACAATTATCTGAATAAATAACTAATTGACTCGAGGCTTGCTAATTAAGTTAAGAGTTTAAATATCGTTGATAATGGCATTTAAATTCCCGTTAAATTTAACGCGAATTAAAAAACTAAATTATAGTACGAAGTCGAAGCAATTAATTCCAGTGTCTATTTGTCGAACGGTCCATCCAATGAAAATAAATTCAATTAATCGCAGAACTTACAAATGAGTAAATTAATGAAAATTACATCGAAATGCCCGTGGAAACAATTGATAGAGCGCAATAATTGGATTGTCAAAGGGAAAGATTCGCTCTCTCTTTATTTTTTATGTCATTTTCTCGCTTATAACAAAAAACAAGTGTAAATATTTAAAGTCGATAGTCAGTGATCTCTTTCACTCTATATTTTCATCGGAAATCTCTCTGTCTATAGACATTTCCTGCGCTGTTTACTTTAATATTTTTCATAAAATTGAGATTATAAGGATTCTGGCATACACCCTTTGTCAATATTTTTATAATGGCAAATTTTTATTGAATTACTTTTATGCAAACCCTTTTATTTCCTCTTCTTTTATTTAAAATACATTCCTTTAGATACATAACCTTTTAGAATATAATAGCTACGCCACTGATCTAACAAATATAACATAACTTACCGTCTTCATTATCTTGTGATTTCAAGTGACAATTTTCACACCAAGAAGGGATATAGCTCAACAAAAACAAAGGGAAAATGTTATAAAAATATATTTGTATATCATCAGTTGCTGAAACCTACCCTATGTTATTATTATTATTATGACAATATTTCCTCAGAAAGCGGTTTTAGTGTTCCGATTAATCACAGATAAGTAATTTGTTGTTAGAGAGCAAACTTGTCTATGAAATAATAATTTTTTAGGTTGAATTGGAATGGAAAAGTATGTCTTTTACAAATAATTAAATTCGATATAAATTGTACTTAAAATGGCTAGTATTCTAAAATCTAAATATATTGGTGCAAAAAACATACAAAATTTAATGCACACAAATTAATGTATTATTTAAACGTTAAAACATACTAATTACTAAAAATTCACTGTTGTAAAAGGCACTATGTAGTCAAAAAAAGTGAAGCCAGCCCCCTAAAAAGGTGGTTGGATTTTTAAAACAATTTAAAGATTTAAAATTTTTTGAAAAATTCCACTTAGTTCGTAAACAATTGGGAATCAATTTTTAATTGATATATAATTCGGAAACTAATAGAAATATTTCAGTATTTTTTTTAACGAAGATAAATGATTATATATTTTAATTTAATATCGAGTAAATTTTCGGAAAAATTGAGCCGGCGGAAAAAACCGATTTTTCCGGTAAAAAAAACGAAAAAATTGTAAATTTTCAGAAGAATTGAATTTCCAAATTTTTACGGATAGTAAAAAAAACATATTCGGTGCTGTATTAACATAACTTTTGTTTTGTTTGACACTTGACGATTGATAAAATTATAATTTTGTAAATTTAACTATATAAATCATTATTTTGTAATTGGAAATTATCAATGGACTCTTTTTTTGCAAAAAATACCCAACTGACAGTATATTTAACGGTTTAAGTTTATTTTCTTAAAATCAATTTAATTAAATTCAATGTTTAGTTTTTTCCTGTAAGGATATTTTTTTTAACTAAAATAATGTTAAGTTGTTGACCGCTATTTTTTTTAAATGTGTATATTTTTCCCAAAAAGGCCAATTTTTCCAAGGCACGGAAAAAAGTTCCGACACCTTTAAACCCTACTCCAGGGACAAGAAAAGAAAGTAAGCCTTTCTACGGCTAGGCTGTAACATTTTTTCTTACTTTTTCCAATAGCGAGCGATGCATAATATGTTTAATAAAAAACATTTTTAAGATTTTTTCAAAATTCTGTTAAACAACCGCCTTGATAAAATTTAATATTAACGAATTATAAATTATCTTTTTAATAATAAATTACTATCAGATCCCACAGAAATTTATATTTAACGTGTGTAGGTGTTGCTGCGTACTGCTTGTTTTGTTGACAGCATATTTAACATTTTTAATTTTATAATTTACATTTTAATTATAATATTAACTTACACAAATTAATAAAAAACGAATTGTATGTATTTAGGTATAACAACCTTACTTTTATTGTGCTCTTTGTTTATGCATTTAACAAGTAATAACAACTAAATCTGTAAGTAGTTAAATATTATATGTATTTTTTATGTTATTGATTTGTGTTATAAGTCACTAAAAAATTATCATATATTATATCACGAGAACTATGAATTTAATCGGTTAAACTAGGCTCAGTAGTTTTTTGTTTGGTTTTTCTTGGAAAATGTTGAATGCAAAATAATTTAATAAAATCATGAGACCGCGTAGCGGTCGAGGGGTTTTATTTTTAATTATTTTTCATGAAACTATTTTCCAAAAAGAAAAATCAAATAAAAAACTTACTGAGCATAGTTTGACAGATTAAATTTATAGGTTGAGTGATATACGTCTAGATTACTTCTCGAATTAAAGGAAACTATTTGACAATTCATAAAATCTGACGTATGTGTCAAAATTTATAAATATTTTTTAAAAAAAAATTCCATTAATTTAAGGTATGTAATAAGTAATAATTGATATTTCGTAAACTAGATAACTTATTTTTTATTGTTTTATAAAAAATGTTTGTTAAAACTTGTAAATAACACCATAAAATCGTAAACAAAAATCCAATATGGAGGCTAAAATTTAATCGCTGTTAAATAGTTCTAGTGATTTAATCGCTTATTTAAACGAAATTTATTCGAAAATTCAAGGCTTTTGATTGGTTCATATTATAATGAGGGAAATAATCATTTAAATACGCTCGTTAGTGACCGCGCGCCATTAGACAAATAGTCATAACTTTTTTAATATTAATAGTTGCTATTTTTTTCTTTTTTCAATTTATTTGTAAGCGTTTTATGCATAATCCGGAATAATCCTATTTCCAAATAAAATTAAAACATTGGCCAAAATCGAAATTCTTTATAATATAACAATTTAAACAATTTAAAATATTTTTTTATTATTTACGAAAACATATAACACATTCTTGCCGGTATAAAAAAGCAGTTGTTTTTTAAAAACCATCAAAAAACTTTTTTAGGTGGTTGTTTCACTCGTTTTGACTCTTATATTAAATTTCTTTAAATGATTAAAAATGGGATGGAATGCTCACACAACCGATTTTAAATATTTTTATTTTTAATTTTTGTTTACTTTTGGTATTTTTACAATGATAAAAAAATATTTGATAGGGATCCCTAAATTGTTAGCTAATTATAGCTATTTATAAAAAATTATGGACCTATTATATTATACAGGGTGTTTAGGTGCAATACTTAATGTAGAAAGTTATATAACTAAAAATTTCCAAATATTGCTCCTAAAACCTAAAACACCCTGAAACTTTTTACCATTGTAATTTGTTAAATTACTTTATATATTACGAATTATTCATTACTTTCAGTCATTTTAGTAAATATATTAATTAATATGGAATAAAATTTTTGATTCTGACCAACTATAAATCTGTCACAGGCCCTGACAAAGTCACCCTTAATGGCAGATGCGTGGTTACCGATGATGCCGTCGTATTGGAATCCATGGACGTCATGGAAGAGGTTTTCCCGTTTTCCGACAAATCCGAATTCCTACTGATACCATTCCGATGGAGGATAGTGTTGTACTTTTTGTCCAACCTAAAGTTACATCGAAATGTTTTTATTTACATGCATATTATTGCCGAGAAAACGGTGTTTGAAAATGTATTCTAGCGACTGCGCCATGAAGTCAAGTGCAATTTACGATGGCCATAGACTTGTTATTACTTGTTTGTTGTGATTCATGTTGGTAAGCCTGATACAAATAGTGAATAGCTTGAGTCATAGTTAAAATTATCTTACCACGAGATAAGCTCGATATTTTCTTGAAATCTTGTAAACAACGTGAAAATATAATTAGCACTATACACGGTGGTCAAAACTTAAGTATAGGACGAACAAAAATGCCAATAAAAACTGAAAGCATATTTTGATTAGGTATAGGGGTGATTCTCAAAATAACTACACTTTCGGTTTATTATTTTTTTAATGCTAAAAAGTTTGGTAATATTATTACAAGAGCATTTTTGTAAAGCTTTAGTTAAATCCTAAACTAAAATAAGATTGATATTGCATGCAAACCTTAATTTTTCTATTTATGGGTAAATTATGTCCACAGAAAAGACGTCCACTGAATGGACATCTATGTATATTATTCTCTATAAGAAAGGTAAATTTTAGGTTATGCCTTCGCATTTGTCATGTGCCAAAAATAAAAACTTTGACAATAATAATGACAATAATTAGAAAATAATTCAATACTTACTGTTTGAAATATAATTGTAACAGAAAGGACAGCCTATGCTGCTACACTGGAGCCTCGTACATAAACATGAACGCTTCTTTACAACCTTTCAAAAAAGAACTGACAAGGGCGACTTAAATAACAAATGACAGGTTTTTTAATGACATAAAATTAACGGTTGACGTGAGTGGCGCGAAATACTTTTAAAATTTTGCACTTGCAAATAAGTCCTCGGAATGGATCGAAACTGGTAACGTATAAATGACTAAACTACAATATTAAATTAAAAAGAATAAAAAGGAATATGAACCATATCTATGTATTTTTGGGGTATTTAATAATAATGGCAATTTTTTAGGTTTTTTTAATATGCAGGCTTTTCACTACATTAACTGAAACTTACCAACACGATATAGTCACGTTCCACGGAAAGGACAATATCTCTATTCAGATCAGTTTTTGGGCGGTATTTTTTTTTCTTATTTTTTTTTATTTTTTTTTACTTACTAACTGTTAGTTAACGTTGTGTACTTTAAAAATGTTACTTATTTTTACCATTTTTTTTTAATATGGGACAAAAAAACACACGTCACGCAAAGATTGTAGTTATTTTGAGAATAACCCATAGACCCTTTTGGTTATAACCTGTATTTATCAAAATCCCAGCTGATCCTATTTTAAAGTTTTGCAAACTTTTTTGTTTTTCTATTTCTATATATTATTTTGAAATTATTGTACTAAAACTACCTGTACAATTTTAATAAAATTAAGCAAAATAATAAACTTTGTATCATTTAAATTACTTTACTCCCCAGTATTAATTTATTGAGTCACCTATTATTTTTTACCACTCAAAACAAAACATAACAAAAAAAAACGATAATTTATATCTTAAATATTTTTTATAACAAAAAATACTGGGAGTTTGTCTATGAAATAATTACAACTTGCAAATTTTGTAAAAAAATAATTAAGGTGGTTATGAAAAAAATTGCTATACGTTATAACGCAAGTGACATTTTGCTTTAGTTGTTTATTTAATGTATACTTTATAAATTAAAAATAGTATTTTAAAATGAAAATTAAACCGAAATTCAAGTTAAGCCATGAAGAAAATCGAAAGAAGGTATGTGCTGGCTGTGGAGACAAAATTGTTTTTGATAATCGAAAAATTCAGAGCTTAGGGTTTCTGAGAAAATATAAAAATTACTGCAGACTTTTTCAAACGAACACTTTAACTTAAGTGATTCAAAATTACCTACTTCAATATGGTAAAAACGGTATTTTTGCATAGCCACAATTGCCAAATTTTCAAAATTTAGAAATTGCTAAAGAATTTCGCGGCAGCCAAGAATGTATGTGCTTTATCTGCAAAATGCCAAGATATAAAGGGCATAAAAAATTATTAAGGGAAGAGGACGGACGAACGAACTAAAGTTTTGATATGCTCTTCCTTTCTAGGGGATATCGCTAGATGTAAGAAAAATACTGTTTCCATGTTAAAAACAATTCCATGTAAAACCCAAGAAAAAGTTTTACTGAAAAATTTAAGGCAAGCAGTAATCGATTTTACTTCAAAGAATCTTTAGTTATTTATTAGTTTTGTATTAGGTATAAATAAGATATTGCAAACTGTATTTTACATTATTTTATATTTATAATGTAATTTATCCATATTTCAGTCATGTATCTGCCAAATTTTTATAAACATTTGATAATGGTACTAGAGTATTTTATCGAAATGGCATAAACAATTTTAAAATACTAAGAAATATTCAAAACTTTAATAAAGGATCAGCTGGGATTTTGATAAATACATTTTTGTGTTACCAAAAGAGTCTATAATCAGATTATGCTATCAGTTTTGGTTGGCATTTTTGTTTGTCCTATACTTTAGTTTTGACCACCGTGTATAACAAAAACTTAATCATATACAGGGTGTCATTTTAAAAATGAGCATAAGTCCGGACTTAAAGAAGATATCAAAATTTTTTTAAAAACGTTTCTAGAATATGTGGGGCAATTTAAACCATTTTTTAGTAATTAAAACATTAGGAAAAAAACTGGAGAACACAAAATAATTTTAACAAAAAAATAATAAACTAAAAAAGCATATATAAACAATAATCAAAACACTTTAATTTTTGTCTTTTTAAATTAAATGCGGAAAATAACTCCCATCAATTTTTAAATAGACATCCTGTATATAGACAATAGTGTTTAAGTACAAAGTATAACCGAACTTTGTTTGAAGAAGATTGTAAATAAATTGAAAAATAATATTTTTATATTTATTCAATATCGATGAATTTAAAAAACTTGTAAGCTTTTAACGTGTGTTATGTTAATTTAGTACTTAAGATTGTAAAAGTAGAAATCAATTAGGTTTATTAAAACCAATAGTATGTTCCATTAACAATAAAAAAAAAATGTTCAGTGGTACTTACTGCAATAATTTTTGATCGGCTTCTTCCTTTTTAGCTCTGGTGTCCTGCAATTCTCTCCTTAAATCTAGGGTTTCTCTTTCCAGTTCGAGAACTTGACGTGCCGAATTCGAAGCCAGCTCTGCGGCCGACGGTTCTGGAACTCTAAAAGACAAAAACATATAATTTTATACTTTTATCGTCGACAGCTGTTGCTGACCAGTGGCTGATCATCAAATTAGGCATAAATGCAAAAAGGTTTTTATCTCCACGCGGTCTATAATTTAAACTTTATTGTTGTCAACATTCGATAAAGAAATACCTTGTTATGGCCTAGGCCGATAAAATTTTTTATGAGGCAAGTAATTAGTTCGATTGTTTCTCGCTAGGGGTATTGTTTTGACAAATTAATCCTTTTCTAAGAAATTAACGTACTAAACTGGTTTAATTTATTATAAATAAGCACTAATTTGTTTGTTTCACTGTATATGTTTAATATTTTACTGTATATGTTTAATATTTTACTGTATATGTTTAATATTTTTCATCAAATTATTGTGAAATTAAATATGAATAATAAAACAAAAAGTGAGGTTAGGCAACCCAGAAAACGCACGATTCTTTTTCTACGATTTAAATTATCTTTAAGTTTTAATTTGCTTTAAGTTTTCAGTGAAATTAAATGTTAAACACAGCTTAAACATTCCAAACTATCTATTTTTTAAATAAAAATCCAAACAAATTGAAATTAAATACCTACCTATTTATTAAACAATTAATTGAATTCAATGTAATAGCAAAAATCCATTTCTACTTAAATCATGTTGCTAGGTATTGTCAAACTATTACTGCTTCTAAAAGCAATAATAATTATTGTACATTTAATGTAATCTTTAGCTAATAAATAAATGAGATTCTGAAAAAGTGAGGTTAGGCCGCTTTGGTGTTGAATTAAATTGACCTATATAAAGTGCTTTGAAGATAAAATGTTGTATGCCATTCGGCCAAGAAGTGCCTTTTTGTGCTTCGCTCAATTGTAACCTTGAGCTTAGCACAAAAAGCCTTACTTCTTAACCTAATTACATAAATAACTATTATTTGACATATAAAACATTATGTTTTATCAAGACACTTCCCCAGCTAACAAAACCGATATAACCATTGAAACAATTAAGGAATTAGGCTGGAAATTTCTGCCGAATCCTCTGTATTCTCCAAATTTAGCCCTTTGGGATTTTTTCCCTTTTCCAGAATTGAAAATTGTTGGTAAGGGTATTACTAGGCAGGGTATTACCGGGCATTAAATGCCTTAGGTACTTAAGTAATCGACGCTATAGAAACATTTTTGATAAAAAAAATTTTAATGGAATTTTAACGAATAGATTAGAATATAATACTATTTTTTCAAAGACCTGATAAGGAGGTGAAAAGAAGCTTAGCGATAGTAAGTGGCTTGTCCCTAATTTAGAGGATCCTTATATGTGTCCAGTTGATTTTTAAAATTAATAAGTAAACGTCCAAAAAAAGATTATTTTTGACGCCAAATCATACATGGAATAAAACCAAACAGCGAATGGTACAAAAATGTTCCTGTAGGAAGAAATACACTTGGTAAATGGACTAAGATAACAGCCAAGAACATTGGATTGGATGGTAAAGCAATAAACTTACAAATCACTCAAACAGGTGCAATACTATTTCTGTTACTATGTGAAAGCTTAATTAAAATAACTGGGCATGTTAATGCAAAATCTATTAATCCCTACTTAAAATTGGATGATAACCATCATTCAAATTTAATTTCCAACTTCCAAGTACAAATAATTTTTTTCTTATTTATGTTATTAAATATTTCAATAAATTTTGTTTGTAAAAATATGTTTTATTCTTAATTTTATCCTAGTTATTTATTCATGCATTTATCTTCCCATAATACACTCGAGATCAATTTTTAACCCAATATTTTTTTAAAAATTTATCTCAAACCTTTTTGCCCAAAAAAAAATATTCTCGAATTAAGGGCCCTTAATTCTCGACTAATTTTTATGGCAAACAGATTTTCGATTAAAATAAAATTAAGACCAGTCAAAATTAGTTATTTTTTACTTAACCACTGTAAAAATAAATTACTTGGGCATGTAACTATTCTGTCTGGCCTGGCAAAGGTGGTGGTGGTATTTGCTCATCATTTAAAAAGGGGTTGACATTGGAGCATTCATTACCGCGCGACCGCCTAATTAGGGGTAATAAAAAGTCGTCTCATAGGGCGCCGCTGGAAACTTTCCAATAAACAACTGGGACAAAAAACTGGACAGATATGAATGGCAAACAATTTATTAAATGATTAAAAGGGAAAATTTTATATAAAAAAATTATATTATATTATATTAACAGGTGTCATATATTTTAATTAACTAAAATCGGTTAATAAAGTTTTTGTTCGAATTGAAGTGTTAAAATTATAAAAGGTAGTACTTAATGTTAAATTTATTTATTTATTAAAGTGGTGAGAGAAACAAATGCAGCAAGATGTATACAAAAATCTGTATACTTTAATATACAAAACATATAATAATAGAAAATAAATCCTAAGCCAAATAAAAAAAAACGTAAAAGTAATATAAGAATAAAAATTTAAATATTTTTTATAATTTAACTAAAACCTACCACGGTGGTCAAAAGTATAGGACGAACAAAAATGCCAACCAAAACTGATAGCATAATCTGATTATAGACTCTTTTTGTAACACAAAAATGTATTTATCAAAATCCCAGCTGATCCTTCATTAAAGTTTTGCATATTTCTTAGTATTTTAAAATTGTTTATGCCATTTCGATAAAATACTCTAGTACCATTATCAAATGTTTTTAAAAATTTGGCAGATACATGACTGAAATATGGATAAATTACATTATAAATACAAAATAATGTAAAATACAGTTTGCAATATCTTATTTATTGTTTTAAGGTACCTAATACAAAACTAATAAATAACTAAAGATTCTTTGAAGCAAAATCGATTACTGCTTGCCTTAAATTTTAAGTAAAACTTTTTCTTGGGTTTTACATGGAATTGTTTTTAACATGGAAACAGTATTTTTAAATTCTTCAGTCTCTGTACAAATATTCTTCTTACATCTAGCGATATCCCCTATAGAAACGAAGAGCATATCAAAACTTTAGTTCATTCATCCGTCCTCTTCCCTTAATAATTTTTTATGCCCTTTATATCTTGCCATTTTGCAGATAAAGCACATACATTTTTGGGTGCCGCGAAATTCTCTAGCAATTTCTAAATTTTGAAAATTTGGCAATTGTGGCTATGCAAAAATACCGTTTTTACCATATTGAAGTAGGTAATTTTGAATCACTTAAGTTAAAGTGTTCGTTTGAAAAAGTCTGCAGTAATTTTTATATTTTCTCAGAAACCCTAAATTCTGAATTTTTCGATTACCAAAAACAATTTTGTCTCCACAGCCAGCACATACCTTCTTTCGATTTTCTTCATGGCTTAACTTGAATTTCGGTTTAATTTTCATTTTAAAATACTATTTTTAACTTTATAAAGTATACATTAAATAAACAACTAAAGCAAAATGTCACTTGAGTTATAACGTATAGCAATTTTTTTTCATAACCACCTTAATTATTGTTTTACAAAATTTGCAAGTTGTAATTATTTCATAGACAAACTTCCAGTATTTTTTGTTATAAAAAATATTTAAGATATAAATCTTCGTTTTTTTGTTATGTTTTGCTTTGAGTGGTAAAAAATAATAGGTGACTCAATAAATTAATACTGGGGAGTAAAGTAATTTAAATGATACAAAGTTTATTATTTTGCTTAATTTTATTAAAATTGTACAGGTAGTTTTAGTACAATAATTGCAAAATAATATATAGAAATAGAAAAACAAAAAAGTTTGCAAAACTTTAAAATAGGATCAGCTGGGATTTTGATAAATACATGTTAGTGTTACCAAAAGGGTCTATAATCAAAATATGCTATCAGTTTTGGTTATGTTAGAAAATAAATATTTATATTTATTTTTTATATTTTGTTTACAGAAAAAATGGCAAGTGCATACAAATTCTTTCAACCTTTATTTATGGTTAACTTTTAGCTTGGTGCGATTTTTTCCCCAAAATTAGGCCTCCCAGTTAAAATTGCTTTTCGGGGGGGTCTCTTATCGTTCGCCAGCCTAGTCCATAAATTTTCCGGGCGTCCACCAAGACCGTAAGTCCGCACGTCGCTGGTGCTGTTTGCACTGGTGGAGGCGGGGAAGTATGGCGCGCGATAAGACACGACCGGCAGGACGCTATCAGCAGGAACGACCGCAGGACGATACGTGATCGAGAACTGCCGCTGCCGCTCAGTGTTGCCAACCTAGAGTTTATTTAAAATTTCCCAGGACGGTTAATAAAATTCCCTGTTTTAACCCAAAATTCCCTTTTGAGTTTTTTGTTAATAAAATATATCTTTTTAACAAGTATACAAAAATATAAGTTAAGAAAGTATTAATAAAGATTTACATAATTGGACGGCTTTCTGCAGAATGGGACCAACCCACACCATGATGAAACTGAGAAAAAAGCTATCAAAGATTTTAATAATTTTAAAATTACCTGTTAATTTTATGCCGATTTTGGACTTACGGAGGTTTAAGGGATATAATTTAATAATTTCATCAGGTGGATTTTATGATGTTATGTGTAAGGGTGACGAAAAAAATGGGCTTTTGTTGGTTGGTTCCTTTCTGCAATTTATGAAAACTACTATCTGATGTATGTATGTATTTAAAGAAAAGCGACAATTATTTATTTCCAAACAAAATACAACTGATATTACTATTATAATGGTAATATGAATTTATTTTGATTCTATTTGAAATTCGTCCACATCATCTTCCAACCCCACCTCATCTTGTAAGCTACCAAAAAAATGCATCAAGACTTTATATTTTGCAGAAGCAGGAAATCTTTAAAGACTTTGGTAGTGGGTCTACCAGCCTGCTTTTTTACAAAAAAGATCCAACCTACTTGCAGATACTCTACAGATTCTAATTCTGGATTAGTAATCCACACTATTATTGAATGTTGGTTGGTTCAATGATTAATAGATTTTACTACACTTGCATTTTGGCTATGACCTATTTTGCAGATAAATTATACATACTTAATTAGTTCATAGGCTAAATATCTCGATTTTTTTGGTTTTGTGGGTTGGTTCCTTTCTGCAGAAAGGCGTCCAATTGTTGTCAACAAACTTTAACACTTAAAATTAAAAAATACCTTCATCTATGACAGATTAAGATATTTTATTTTAGACACTGTAAATTTTTTCTAAAATAAAATATTAAAAATTTTTATAGTAGAACTATATCCCTAATAGGAATAAGGACAAGCCAGGATACTGATAATTAGGCACGATAAAAATAATTTTGACAAGAAAATTAGAAATAGTTTTTTGAAGTAAATGTAATGTAACTATGTATTAAGATTTTAAGAATTTAATCAAAAAGTTTATTTAATTTATTTATTTAACTAAAATTATAAGCAAGCGAGTGCTTAATTAAATGGGGGTATATAAAAGTTTATAAACGAGTTGCATACTATACTTTTTTTACGACAAGTTATTATTATCTAAAAATGATTTAAATTAAATATTTGTATAGAGCGATCTATAAAACAATAGTGTAACCATTCTTGGGAATCTGTATTACCGGCGCGCCGGTGTAAATATCAAATTTTTACTTGTACTTGTTGTTAAATTCAGCCCGTGACTAAAACGCCATAAAGTCACATACACAATGTGTATTTAAAAGGTCACTACAGGCGTATATTAAAATATTAATAATTTATCGTTTGCATTTTTGTTGTTTTTATTAGAGACATTTTATTTTATCACCTTGTTGAAACTTAATTTAATTTAATTAGTTTACCTATGATGTCAGCAGTGGCGGCTGGTGGATTTTGCATATGCCATAACTTAGTTATTAGACAAAAGATAGTTTTTGTTCCACCTACCCTGCAGCCTGGCCTCCTAATAAAGATAATACAAATTTTAGTCGTGCAATTTAAAATTTACCTTAGTTTATTGACAAATTTTAAAATAAAAAAAAAATCCAAATTGTACAGATTTTATTTTTTATTATTTAAGGAAAAAAAATAAAAAAATATTTAAAATGGTATAAAATTTGTAATATTTAGAATTTTTTAAGTAAATGTTGAAATTTGTCTATAAACTGTGGTAAATTATAAATTGCACCAAAATTTGTATTATCTTTCTTATACCCTATACTCCTATAGGAGTATCTTTTTTTCGCAAACTTCTATTTTAATTCTGCTTGCGCAGAACTTGTTAACTCTAAAAATAAATTGGTCAAAGACTAATTTATTAGTTATTAGTGCCTTTTCACTTGTAGCATGGTTAAACATGGGATACCATGGTATCCCAAAATTTAACAAACACTTTTAATGTAAAATTGTCCCCTGAATCCGAAAATGTCGTCAAAAGTTAAAAAAGTAGAACAGTTTTCGAGATTTAATTGACTATATCAAAAAACTGCTTCACTTTTATAATTTTTCACGGTATTTTCGGATTCAGGGGACAATTTTACATAAGAATAGGCTATTAAATTTTATGATACCATGGTATTTCATGGTTAACCATGGTACAAGTGAAAAAGCAGCCACTAATCACTATTAATAATAATAATAATAATAAACTTTATTACCCAAACTAGAGACGTTACAATTGACTCAAAAATACATATATAAAGGGTATAAGGGTAAAAGGTTGAATGCTGAGATTTCCAAAATTGGATTCTGTTCTTCCGCATTCCCCTTGGGATACTTAAAATTAATATTTGTTAAAAATAATATACAATTTAAAACCTACTTTTTTAAGTAAAGACAACTATGACAATACAAAATAAATAAATAAAACTACATTTAACTATAACTAAAAATTAATAAAATATTAGGAACCCTTATTAATGATCAATAAAATATAAGGGTCATTGCTGCCGCGACAATACAAATTTTAAATTATTTTTAAAAGTATTAACAGATAAAGTAAAATCACACATATTATAATCATTGACATATTTATAAATATTGTACGAGAAAGACCGTTTAAAAATTTCTTTTTTGTGCTTGGGTATATCTATGGCGCGTTTTTTTCGGATATTTAGATTGTGTACATCAGTCCTATATCTTATTTTATCATGAAGGTACTGGGGCAATTTTAAATTAGTCATTTTTGACTAATTCATTTTTAGAGAGAATTTAGTGTCATTATGCACTTATATAAATTTGGTATGGGTCCCTTGTCTAATAACTAAGATACACGCAAAATCCACCAGCCGCCACTGGATGTCAGTATGGTAAAACAAATAATAAATGAAAATTATTTTTGTTTATAAATGCAAACAATTTATAAAATAATTTTCTAGTGGACTTTGACTAATTTTCCTAAATATCTTTTAAACGAAGAAAGGTCAAAAAACGCAATAAAGAAAAAAAATTTAAATATATTTTTTTAAAATTAAATTTGCTGCGTACTTGAAAACAGTTTGGTTATAACATAAAAAAATTAAAATATTTTAAACAATGCATTTTCTGAAGATATAAATGCATACCACATTTAAATTATGTATATTTTACATTTTAGAAGATATAAATAAATATATAACTTTAACTTCAAAGTTTTACCATAGTGTATTTAAATCAATTCCTTTATTTTTAGATGAACTATAATATAAATTAGACCATTTAAATTTTTTCCAGTATTCAACAATTTTTATTGGTAAAATTTTTACTTAAACCTGTTTTTAACAAAAATCATCTAAATTTTAATAAAAAAAATAAAACTCACCTTTGGCTTACAGCTAAATTCTTTAGTTGCTCCTCTAATTTTAATATTCTGTCATTATTTCGGTTTTTCTCACTAACCATTTGCATATGATTCTGTAAAAAATATAAATAAAAAACTTAAAATGTATATTTTTTATTTGACTAAATAAAAATTATATGTCATTAAGAACGTTAAATAACAAAAAATGCATATTAGATAAAATATCTCATAGCTTTTTTTTTTGACAAAAATACTAGGGTTCGGTGGGGACCGATATTGATTTTATTAAGATTTCCCAAGCCGACGACGCAGAATACATGGACAACGCTTTGTCAATATTTGTCTCCAGAGACCGTAACAGCAGACGGTCTCATCTCTACGGCCGTATATAGCGTATGCCGCCCGATTTCGCGGCATAATGGAATCGAATGAAATGGATGGGACTTGAAAGTACCACCACGATGATGGTCGATCATCAGAAACATATCGAATTTCTATAAAGTTTTTTAACGGAATATTCATTTCACTTAGTAGGGGGGTCTTGCTATTCTAGTAGTAAAAAATGAGCGTTTCACATTAACAAAATATAAAAATTATCTATAAAATAAAACATAAACAAATTTTAAAATTCCTATAAATATAGTCACGGCCAAATCTATATGGGTGCACGTCATCAATGAGATATAATGACGTCAGCATTACCAACTTTGAATTGTAAAGTTACTGCCGTTAAATTTGCTTTTTTAAGGCGTAATTCTGATGTGTTATTAAAAAGAAATCATTCATTTGCGTATTGTTTACCAAGAACTGTAACAATTTCCTTGTTTTAAAACGTTTTTTTCACGAAATTATCAAAATAAAACCATTCACTTAGTTATTTTTGTGTGTGCCAGTTGGTAATAGCTTAAGGCTGGCGCGCACCGTTCAATATTATTGATGGGTCGCTGTCATTTTATATTTGACGTATTTTTGTAATTGTGACATTTCGTCCGGAAGCATCGTTTGTTGCAAATTATTATAAATAATATTATACATTATGTTTATAAGATTCAATCCCTGGATTGTGCAAACAATGATATAAGGCCTGTTGGCAACTAGCCGTTATTAGATTTCGAAGACATTGCGCCCTTAATAATAAATTTGGGGAAATAATCAAAATTCAATTCTGACCTGGTTTGCTCTGATGACAAGGACGACTGGTAATTTATTATTTTTGTGTTTCTGATAATTTAGTATTTTTTTGTTATGTGCATATGTAATAAAAATGTAATAAACTCCGTTTGTTTTCTCTTTAAACACATTTAATAAAAATTTGCCTGTAACAAACTCCTAATTAGTTAGTTCAGAAGATTATACAAGGACGTTATAATTCCATCTTAATAACAGCCCCCACCGCTATAAACAGTCAACAATACACGAGCGTTAGATTGTGTCTGGGCACGTATGAATAGACCTTAACGCTGACGTCATATGCCGTTGATGACGTGCACCCATACAGATTTGGCCGCGACTATATGAATTAATACGAAATAAATAAAAAACGCAAATGTGCATTTTTACAAAAATGGCGGATGCGCCGGGATCAATATAATTAATTTCATAGGAATCTCATTCAAACATTTTAAGGGGTGATTTTATAGCGCAAAATATGACAAAAAGTTTTTAAGAAAATGGGGTAGGAAATGCTTTACTAGAAACCCACGCCCCTTTAAATATGGCACTCAACATTTACATTTAATTTTGTATCTTAGGTGTACCTACCTACTTTAACCTAAAATAAGAAATTCAGGCACACGCACTATATCTAAGGATTCCTAAGTGTACCTTAACTTTACCAAGGGTCAGAATTTTATAACAATTTTTTTTCAAAACAAAGTCCGTAAAGAAGCGATAACTTTATAAATTTATAAAAAAAATATTCACTTGTTTATTTTTATAAACAATCAAACTTTTCAACAGTGCTTTCTTAAAAAAAAAATACTCTGCAAGGCTTTTTTTCAATCAATAATATATTTTTCTACAATATAATAATTTTAGTTATTTTGTCATTTTCCAAGACATGATCATGGCATACTTCATTATGTTCCTGTTACCTTTATTTACCTGTGTAGACTGAGAAATTGTGAAAAATAAAAAGCAATTAAAAAAACTAAAAATTTTATGTTTTCCAGTACCATATGCAATAAAACAATTAGTACGCAAAAACCTTATCTTTTAGGATTCAAAGACTATTTTTTTTAATTGATTATTAGGGAATTGAAAACGAAATCCGTGGAGCATAATTTTGTATAATAAAAACATGTTATTTGTTACTATAGGAAATAAAAAAAAACTGTCTATGCAGATTTTGGTAAAAAACAACATTAAAAAACACTTGGAAAAAAAATTCAAGTATTTTCTATACATAAAATATATAGAAAGTATATATGAATATTTACTATAAAATGCATAGATGAAATATCGTTTCTTTGTAATCTAATTTAGATTTTCTAATACATGAAAGCAGTTTTAAGGTCTTTTAAGGTTTAGCTAACGGCTAAATGAGTGTACTGCTATTAATTAAGGACTTGTTTTTTTAACATACAGTGTGACCCACTTGTTTGCGACACCACTGTAAAATCTTTATATATTGTGCCATTTTAACCGGATTTGTTATAAAGTGTAGATCTTGATAAACTGTATTTTGGAGCAATATTTTTAGAAAATACAAGGCCTACTATGTAGTTTTTGAGAGGCCATTTTTTGAAATTCATATTAGCGATTCAAAAAAAATCTATGTATGGCACTGGATTTACCACCCATACTAAATATTATTGAAAAATTTTAAGTAGAAACGATTTTGTAGGCAAAATAATTAATTTTTACTAAAATTTATTCTGTTAAGTTAATAGCTTGAAGTTATCCATAAAAAAAACATTGAAATAAAATTAAACTAATAATAACATGGTATAATTATTCTTATGCTTAGTTTTAACAAAAATAAAAACGCATTAGAAACTTAAAACAACAATGAAACAAAAAATAGAAAAATACAAAACGATCATCGATCGAAATATAATAAGGTGACTTTTTAGTTTTTGCTAACCTGTCTTAAGGTAGGCTTATTAATTCTCTGTGTCTGGTATTGTATTCATTATATCTTTTGTTTAGGTTAAAAAATTCTGTTTTTGCTAGCAGAAGTAATCTTAGAATAAAAGTACATGGCACTGTTAAAGTGTTAATGTTTAAAAAAAGAGGCTAACAGTGGCCTTTTTTAGATTTTAAAGATTCTTTCCATTAGCCATAAGAAATAAGACCATAAAAGTTGAATAATAAAAGGTTATTATAGTATTTTTATCAGTTTTTTAAGTTGGAAAAATTATATTATTACGTTTTTTCGACAAGAAGGGTATATGCGAATCTCAGCACATATTTGAATAAATCAATGTAACAAGGAAATTAACGCTTTGATTTTATTGTTTTTTGTAGATTGAAAGTGACTTTTTGTGTTTTTTCTTCGTTCATTTTTAATCTGTTTGCTAAGAACCATTTTTTTTACTATACTTATGCATTCTGTTGCTTTTCTTAAGAGTTCACTCACTTATATTGCAACATTACAAAAAGAGGTGTCGTCCGCAAATAGAATAGTCATTATCGCCCAGATATTACTGGGGAGGTGATTTATATACAAGAGGATTAAAATTGGGCCAAGGATTGACCCTTGTGGAACACCCATTTTTATTTTATCATATTCAGAAACTGCCGTGCCGTGCATAGATTAAAAAAATCGCTAATATGAATTCTTAAAAATTTACTCTCAAACACTGACATAGTAGACGTTGTATTTCGTAAAAATATGGCGTTTTTTGGTCCAAAAATACAGTACAATAAATAAAGATTATACAGGGGTGAGTCGCAAACAAATGGGTCACACTGTTTAAGAATATATTGTATTATGTTTCCATTTTTTACAAAATATAAAATGTATAATATAGTTTAAGTTTAGGAAAAAAGGTCACTTTTGGAAATCCGATATTTAATTTTTGTTCAACCTTAATGTAAGACCCTGTATACAAACGTACGTTTATTATAAGAGATTGAAGAGTAAAAATCATTAAAAGTAGCGTCAGCGTGGCAGCGAAGCCCTTAACGGGAAAGCATAGGTAATCGGAGACCAGAATGCGTGGTTCTCATCGGCCACCCGCACCCCACGTCGCCTTCACCGTCGTCGTCGTCGTCATCGCAGTCGGCCGCGCGCTGGCAGGCGGTTAATTGCCGTAATGGACCCCGTCGAAGACGACGAAGAAGAAGAGGAGAAGAGATGGGCGCGTTAGTTCGTAGGCTCCTCCATTAAGCCAATCTGCTTGTTTGCGCAGTCATGTCATCGAGAGTGGCGTAGTGGAGCCCGTATCGGGTTACGGCCGACGAGCCGACCCCGACATCCCAAGCTCATCCAATTGTCGTTCGAATTTTTTTCTGCTTTTTTATTACTTCTCCCTTCCCCTTGACATATACCGACCGTTATTGGCAATTAAGATATTGGTTTCGATGGATCTTTGGTTTAAGGGGGTTCTACTTAAAAGAAATTTAGAAAGTAGACCGTCTGGTTTACGAGTAAAAAAAATATTAAAGTTGCTAAGACGTTAGAAAGATGTTATCGTTTATTATAAAAAAATGAATTAGTCAAAAATAACTAATTATAAGTCATATTTGACTAATTGTCATAGCGAAAAAGCAGTCACTAATAATTGGGTCATTTTCAAGAAACACCCGCTTTCAGGAAAATGAAAATCAAAATATTTTTTTTGCTTAAATTGACTTTTGGTTGGATTTTTATAAATGTTTAGAGTTTTGTTTACTTACATTTAAGACAAGCAGTGCATTTTTTAATTTTTTTTACGTTTTTTTTTCAGAAAAATGTGTTTAGCTAGCTTTATATATCTCCACTGTGTTACCAATTTAAAATCCAAAATTTAATTTAATAAAAAAAGTTGTTGTACAAATAATTTGAAATAAAATGTACTTAGTTCACAAACTATTGACTCTATTAAAAATTGTATGCTTTTATTTTAAAAATGTTAAGTTACTTTTTAAAAGAAACTATTCCGATTCTTTGTTAAAAAAACAATACCAT